TACCACATATGCTTCCAGAAAGCATTTCTTCACTCTCTAAAACTCCCTACACCCTTCCCTTGGTCCCATCTCCCTACCCAAGGCAGCCATATTCTGATTTCTGTCCTCATCGACTTAGTCCTCTGGCTATGGCTTCTGTTATGTTGCCATGGAAGACCTGGTGGGCAGAGTCTCTATTGTGTTCTGTAGTCCTGGCCATGGTTAAGAATATTTCAAGGGGCTAGGTGCGGTGGCACACACCTGTAATCCCCATACTCCGAGAGGCAGAGGCAGAGGCAGGTGGATCTTTGTGAGTTCCAGGACAGCCAAGGCTGCACAGAGAAACCCTATTTCGAAAACCAAGTAAGGGAAGCTCTGCGAAAAATTAATCTAAAAGCAGCTAACAGCACTTAATTATTTGCTGATACTTGGTAGTGTTTTAATCTTGACCCAGCACCCCAGGGAAAGTGGACCCCTTGGCCTCAGAGCACCCTGACCTTGGTCTTCTATCTAGAAGAGCTATGAGAAAACTCACCCGCCATTTCATCTGCCCCACTGTCCTGCTTACTTACAGCATCCAAGCAGACAAGAAGCAAGCCAACAAAAACTCTCAGGAGGAAGTAGATAGACAGACAATTAACACTGTAGCCTCAGTATCAAAAAGTATCTGGGTGCCTGGTTACACAGGCCTATAAGCCCAGTGTTGTGGAGGGAGGAGGATCAGTGTTCCAGGCCATGCTTGGCTGTCTTCTTCGTCTCATCCCAGTCTGGATCAGATGAGATCCTGTGTGGTTAGCATTTGTTGTCAGTGTGACAGACTCCAGAGTCATCTGGAGATAGGCTGCTGTGAAGGAGCGCTGGGTGCTCTTCCAGAGGTCCTGAGTTCAATCCTCAGCAACCACATGGCGGTCATAACCACCTATACTGGGATCTGGTGTCCTCGTCTGGCGTGCAGGCAGAAGATTTTCTACATAATAAATAGATCTTTAAAAAAATTTCTGCTAAGTCTGGTGACTTGATTCAGTTATGGGAACCTCTGTGGCGGAAGGAGAAAACTGAGGAATGCACATCTCTTACGTGCACACTGTTAGATTTCTGAGTGAGCTTAAAGAGACAGAGGGCAGAAGAAAGACCAGTCTACTTCCAGCAGACAGGACTATTTGCTTCAAGCTGTGAGGGTGCCACTCTCCTGCAGGAAAGGGGTCCTGTGAAAGGGTCCAGTGAAAGAGTTCTGTGCAAGCCTGTGGTTTCTCCTTCCTTGACTGGCTTACTCCATCAGTCAGGCTAACTCGGGAGACGGGTCCACCAACTGGTAGTGGCTTGAGCAGGGCCAGCTACTGCTTCTTAAGAATCCTAATTTTACAACCAGGGCTCTCCATCATACACAATAAAAAAAAGTAAATTTAGTAATCAATAAAATAATGTGGAGAAAGCAAGCTGAGTCCAGCATGGTTTTATAGCTCTTTTCTGACCAAATATTTCAGGCTCCCGCTGCCCTGACTTCTCCACCATGATGGACTGTAAACTATGAGCTAAAATAAGCCTTTCTTTCCTGAAGCTGCTTCTGTCAGGGTATTTTCTCACAGCAACAGAAAAAGAAACTAAGATGCCCTGTATTAAAAAGAAACATCAGAGCCGGGTACACGCCTTTAATCCCAGCACTCAGGAGGCAGAGGCAGGAAGATCTCTGTCTATTAAGATAAAAAAAACACAACGTTTTGTGTGCCCACAAAACCTATAAATCTTAATTTCTTACATGGCCAACGCTTGTTTTTATCTGTCAGTAAAAATACTTGGAATATAGAAAAAGATGATTTTCTTAAAAGGGAATTAAAAATGATATTGTAAAGTTATCTGATTTCTCATGGAACTCTAATTTCGTTGACTAGTAAAATCCATTGACTTATAATTCACGAATAAGAGTTACAATAATTTTAGTATTCTAGACCATTCTTTCCTAAAAATGAGAGCCAGTCATCTCACAGGTTACAGCTACAAGGGCAAAGCATCAAAAGGAAAATATCTAAAAGTAAAGGATAATTGCTTTTTAAAAATACACCATGCAAAAATATCACTTTGTTTGTTTGTTTGTTTCTGAGACAGGGTTTCTCTGTGTAGCCCTGGCTGTCCTGGAACTTGCTCTGTAGACCAGGCTGGCCTCAAACTCCCAGAGATCTGCCTGCCTCTGCCTCCCAAGTACTGGGATTAAAGGGGTGTGCCACAACCACCCAGCTAAAAATAGCATATTCTATAGAATACAAAAAATAAAAATAAAAATAAATAAACCCTGTTGGACACAGGAAGAAACATAGTCTAGTTCTACAATACACGCTGGCCATGCCAGAAAGACGACTCAGAGGCCACGTCTTTTCACAGGACTGGTGCTCAGTTCCCGGCACCTGTGGTGGCTCCCTACCCTTCCTCTTTTCAAAACCGCTTGTGTTTTCTTAGCTTTGTCTCCATTGGGTCCTAGGAATGAGCCTTCCTAGCAACAGGGAATGTGAAATAACATTTGGAATAATATTTGGCTTCCACATGCACAGAATGTGATGCTCGGCGGACAGGAAACTACGAAGTGAAGTTTCAGAAAGGAAGCCTCACCTCCACTGACCCGTGCTCAGCACCGGGCTCCAGTGATAGGCAAGTGTTAGGATATCACAGGCAAATACCTGGCGCTAGCTCACCCCTTAAATACCCATTCATCACCTGCCTCTGCCTGTGGGGGGGCTTTGTGAATAACAGGTAAATCTTTTTTGGAATGTATGAACAGACCCCTAGCTTTCATCAGTCTGAGACTGTCCTCAGATAACATTTGAAGCCTATGCCAGCGATTTCTCACTTCACTGTAACCCACCGATCTGAGGTTTCCACCAAATGTGTTTGGAAAGCGTCTTGACTTGGAACCGCCTTTATTCTGTTCCTATAAACACTATTACCATATCGGAATACATAACTTCAATTTGTTCTAGGGCCATAGTCACTCATATTTGGCTCCAAGAATAAACCACTTTTTACTATAGGTAGAATTAAAAAGTGTGTGTGTGCGCGCGCGCGCTCGTTGTTTGTGTGCATGCATATGGGGGATATGTGTGTCGAGGAGCACAGGTAGAGGCCACAGGACAACGTTAGTGTCTGTCTCCACTGTCCATTTTGTTTGAGGCAGGGTCTCTGGGCACTGCAAGGCCGGCTGTCCCACCAGTGTCTGGAGAGTCTCCTGTCTCTTCCTCCCACGTCCCCACAGGAACTCTCAGGTGACAGGCGCCTGCCCGCGTCCAGACAGCTTTTGTGATGACTGTGGGGCCGGAGCTCAGTTGCTGGGCTTGCACGGCTGCCCATCTCCCAGGTACGAGAGCTGCTGGGGTTTGAGTAAGAATGCCACTGCTGGCTCTGTGTCAGGGTGGTGCTGTTGGGGGTTAGAAGGACTAGGGTGTGGCCCTATTGGAGGGAGTATGTCACTTGGGGATTTGAGATTTTAAGAGCCCCTGTCAGACACGTTCTCTCTGGGCCTCAAGACCTTGACGAAGCTTTCAGCTACTGCTCCAGAATCATGCGTGCTGACATGCTCCTCGCCATGATAACTAAACCTCTGCAACTGTAATCCAGCCCCAATTAAATGCTTTCCTTTACAAGAGCTGCCTAGGCCATGATGTGTCTCCACAGCACTAGAACAGTGACTAACACTAGAAGGGTGACTAAGACAGCTGTGTTTTTACAGTTTGTTTGGAGGGCAAAAACAAAAGTCTGCACAGATAAATGGCACTGTTGATGAAAATATACAAAAAACCTTTAAAGCTTAATAGTGAGGCAGGTCAATTTTAAAATAAGCAAAAAAAAAAAAAAAAATCCAAAAACACGTGACTAAGTAAGATACCCAGAAGCTTAACAAACATGGAATCTGCAATGTTTGTTAAGGTTTGAAGGACTGTGGCCCACCCCTTTTCACCATCGTATTGAAATCCTAACCCTTTAACCAGGGTGGTCAGGGGTGGGCAATCAGGTCCGGGGCTGAGCTCACAAATTAGTACGTTTCCAACTGTGATCTGGCTGGCTGGCTTTCTCTCTCCCTGTCCCTGTCTCTTTCATTGGTTTTCATCGGTTTTGTCATGACTACCATTTTCCAGGACTTGCAAATTCATGGCGCTTTAGAGACTCTGTTTGGTCCTGGAAGAAGAGCCAACTGCTTGGGAAAAGCACTGGTTTTCATACAACACAAATGTGGCTTCTGTGCTCCTCTGTGTATATTCAGATGAGAGAAAAGCTTAAGTTTAGAAAACCAACACAAAGCTGGTTATAGCTTTTTACATACCCAATCAGCAAGCCTCAGCAAGCAAGCAGATGTTCTTCAAGAAGTGAGTGGATAAACAAGAGACATATCCAGTTCATGAAGTATTACTGAACCCTGAAGTGAAACTTGCTTCCGTCTGTCCCAGGCACCCAGGAAACGCAGCCATGCGTTCCTAAGCAAGGAACCCACCCGACAGCTTCTTGCTGGAGGCCAGGGCCGAACGGCCGCAGAGGGGAAGCCCAGGGCCTGGGGCAGGGGTGCGGTCGCCAAGGGGAGCCCAGAGACTCTGTAGAGGGAAACTGAGGTGCTGACGCCCGCGCTGCTGCCCCCG